CTCCTCCCTGTGCTTGCCTGCATCCTCTTCCCCCTGCTTTGAGCCCAAACCTTTGAGCACAGCAGTAAATGATGGATGCTGGTGCCTCTGGTGATGTCAATGGCTTGGATCGATAGTGAATGGGAATCATGTGCCCGGGTGAGTCCCGGGGCCAGCAGCTCCCCACTCATTGAACCAGAGGGAGCATCAATTGCTAACGTGGGAGCCTGGTTTCATGAGGCAGCAAGAAGCGAAGAGGAGGAGGTGATCCCATCCCTCCCATCCTCACTGCCTTTCGTTTCTGCCTTGTTTCACCTCCTGTAGCTGCAAAGGAAACTCCATCCACGCTCAATGCGTGGCAGCACGCGATCGCTCTCCCTTCTGGGCATTAGAAGCCCACATGCCCACCTCTGATGGCAAAATACCCACATCATTGTACTTGTGCAGCATCGACACCGGGATCCTGGTCCAAGCCATCCACAGGAGCTTATATAACCGGGTAAACGCTTTGCAATAGGTCCAGGTTCTTCCACATGGGATGAATGACACCACAGGAGCGACGGGACACGTCAAAAGGGGTCAAGTGGCCCCTTCAAGGCCCCCTTGGTGGGTGCTGTATTCAAACCCCACTGGAGCTAAGGACGGGAGCTCTCCACACACACACCACAGACAGTCACCACAACCAGGTTCCCAGAGGCCTTACAAGGAACTAGTACGGAAAATGGCACCCGGAATGGTGCCCGCTCGGCTCCTGCTCCCGGCGCTTCCCATCCACTGCACACAACATTCCCAGAGGGAAAGATGGGGCTGCAGGCAGAGGAAGAGCCCCCCACGGCTGCCACCGCCACCCCAAGGCTGCCCCTCACGCTCTCCAGGAGAGCATCCATTGGGAACGCCGGAAAAGCAGCACACCCCAGGACCCTCCCTCCCAAGCCAGGAGGGAATCACGGCCGGAACGCTTTGTGCCCCCTCTGAAGGCCACGGGGGGCTGCAGGAACACCGGTGTGAAACGAGGACATACGGGTCATGGGTTCCCACTGGGTGCAATGCTGCAGTGTCCCAGGGCCCGGGATACGTGTCTACAGCAGCAGCATCACAGCCAACGCCGCCCAAGCCGACCCCCTCCCAAGGACCATTCCCGGCACAGGGAAAGCCGGCGGCTCCCCAGGACCGAGCTGCCCTCACGCACCCGTGTCCTGCTCACACGCATCCCCTCATCCCTCGCACTTGGAGGCTCCATCCCGGATCATCCGCAGCCACCGCCATGGAGCAGAATTCCAGCTTCCCCACCCCCACATTGGCTGGGCAGGATGGATGGGGGGAGGGGGGGGGAAAGGGAATGAAACACCCAGATTTTTAACGGGAAAAGCTGCCGACGGAGCCGTTCACGGTGCCCAGGCAGGGAAAAGCCTCAATTGAGCCCCACCAAGGGAAGGGAGCGCGAGCGCGAACCAAGCTGCCAACATCGGGGTCAGGCTGGAGCCTCAAAGCCGCCCCATGCCCCCCAAAAACTCCATCCTCCAACTTCTCCCCCTCCCTCGCAGCGGGATGCTGAGGAGGTGGGGGGGCGGAGGGCTGTACCAGCGCTGCAGCTAGGGCTGGGGGGGGGGCAGGGATAGCGAGAGAACTCCGGTTATCCCTCCCCACAATGCAGACAAAGAGCACAGCCCCAGTTTGGGGGCCTCCAGAAGGGCCCCGGGATGCGGGGATGGATGGGGTGGTCCAAGCGGAGCTCCCGCTGCTCCAAGGCCGAGGGTGGGCACAGGGATGGGGGGACCCTGTGCGTCCTCCCCAAGCCGAGGGGATGCCGAGCGGAGGCCGCATCCGGAGGCAGCTCTCCCCCCATAGGGGCTCAGGCCTCCGAATGGGGCTACGGGTGGGGCCCCGCACGGAGCCGGGAGGGCGATGCTGGATGCGGGGACACCCGGGTCCCCGCTCCCGGAGCGCGGCGAGCGAAGGGCGGAGAGGGGCAAAGCGGCGGCGCCCCCGCCGCAGGAGCCCCGTTAGGGGCTGGGTGAGGGGGGGGGGGGGGCTCCTTCTCCCTTGTCCGGCTCCGGTTGCACCGGGGACAGCTCCCGGTGCGAGCCGAGCGCTCTGCGGCAAAGCCCCCGCCCGGGGTGGGGGGGGGCAGAGCGCGCGTTGCGGGATTAAACCCAAGCGGACCCCAAGGATGCGGGGGGGAAGGGGCTGCGGGGGGGGCGGCACTTACCGCGGCCGCTGCTCTAACGCGTCCCCCGCGCGGCGCTGCCGGACTGCGGCGGTGCGGGAGCTGCGGGAGGAACTGCGGGTGTCGCCATCTTGGTGCGGTGCTCGGCGGTGCCCCCCCCGCTCCTCCCGCCTCACCTCCGCCTTCCTCCAGCGCGGGGCCGGCCCCCGCAGCGCCGCCGCCGGCCGGCAGGGGGCGCGCCACCCCCCCCGCGCGCGCGGGAAATGCCGCCCTCTCCCGCGCTCCGCGGCGCGGGGGCGCGCCGGGACCATCCCTCCCGTAGGACCCGCGGTGCCACGGGGCATAGGCACGGGTCCCAGCATCAGCATCGCGGTGCCCGTAGAAAATCGCACCCGTTCCTCGTTCCGGAGCTCGGGATCGGTCATTCCCCGCCTCTGGAACTCCCGGCTTTGCTTGGGCACAGCCTGAGGAGCGCCCATGCGGAAGTAAGCACCGAAGTCCCGTAGCCAACACGGAGCGCGATTCAAGACAGCAGCCAGAGGGGAAAACGCGGTGTCGGCCAACCCCGCCTTCTTTATGTAGCGTCGGGATAAGTTAAAAGTCCCAGTGACTGAGCACCCCTCCTTTCTACCCCTTTATACCCTACGTGGTTACACCTCGGGCCATAACTCATGGAAAGCGCCAACACGCACATCAAACTGCTGCGGGAAGCTCCGCACCCTGAGTCGCTTTCATCCAAGCTGGACCTTCCGTGCTGGAAGCGCAGGAGCACACCGGAGCTTCCAAGTAGGACATGCCGGAGCTGCCGGGAAGTGTGGGGCACCTTGGCACCAGAAATACTTCAAGGACATGCTGGGGCCCCGAGGGTGTTAGTACAGTTTGTATAAGGTATCTTTAAGCAAGGTGCTTAAAGGAATAAATAGGCCAGTTCAAGAGGGTGAGTAGTGATAACGCTCTTACCAAGGCGGACCGGGGAAGAGGGAATAAGAGCGCACCCATCCTGCCTCTGGTGCAGCCCGAAGTTGTGCCCATCAGGGAATGTGCAGTGATGCAGTAACAACCACCATCGTCCGCGAAAACGGAATGGAAGCTGCTCTCCAAGGTGGAGCTCTGTGGCTGCAGATCATTCCAGTTGGACCTACTTGTGGCAAAAGGTCTGTGAGCCAGGCTTTGGGGCAGAGGCAAGGAAGGGAACAGAAGATGCAAACAAGCAAGGGACTAAGAGAAAGATGATCAACCTCTAACGCTTTCAAACAGGAGACACAGAGATAAGTGGTTAAATCAGATGGCAGAGATCCCATCTCCACTGCAGAATACTGTTATCAGACCTTAGAACCCATCGTTTTACCTATGCTTAAACTCAGCACTTTCTTCTCTCCCTCCGATCTAGATCACACCTCAAAGAGGTCCCTTAAAAGCCCGGAGTTTCATTGGAAACGTCTCTATTGGGTGCTCCAGGCGCATCCAACTGCTTCGCACGGAGCCATTCCCACTGTTCCCTTTCTCCAGATGCCACAAGGTGGAGGCATGAAGGTGTCACGCCGGGGTTTGCTGATGAAGCGGTCGAACAGTGCGCTGGATGCTGATGTTGCGTCCGGTTTATTGCCACTAGAGGGAAGAGGCAGCTCATGGGACAGGAGGACTCCCATCACTCACCAAAACGCCCCGGTGTGATGGCAGCAGAGCAGCCTTTATTAGGGACTTTAAACCCTCCTTTCCCTCTATTAGGGCTCACCTGGGGCAGAGAAATTAAACGCTATTAAATGCAATTAAGTGCTAGTGGCTAATCTACACTGCAACGAGTGACACAGCAAAGCTGCCCAAGTTACACAGAATGCATTTAGCGCAGCTCACGCAGTTGGGAAGACCAAGCCGTATCTTGTATGTCGAGATAACCGAGTTAATGAATTGTTTTATCTCTGTTCTATGATTGCCATCAAAGGGCTGAAAGATAACTAAGGACAGCAAGAGAGCGTTTAACGGAGGAGCAGGAAGAAGACGAGCTTTTAGGTGGCAAACAGAGGGCAGATTGCAGTGGGGCTGGCACCGTTGCGGAGCTCGCTGTGCTGTGGGAGCATGGGCCGGACGTTTGCACTCTGAGAGCCAGCTTTCGGGTGGGTTTTGGGGCAATTTGAGCTGGATTTGGGTCATTGGAGCAGGTTTGGGGCATTTTGGGTGGGTTTCCTGCAGGACGGGGCCGGGCGCGGTGGAGTCAATGCGGGGGTTTCAATCAGGTCCGACCTTCCCGCACGCACCAGCCTGGGGACGCACCGCGGGCTTCAATCAGGTCCGACCCCGCTTGGGCTCGGCGCTGGCCCCCGGCACCGCTGGGTCCTAGCGCCCGACTGCAGGACGTGGGATCCCGGAACGGGCTGGGCTGGGCGGATTCTTCCTCCCCATATTCCACCTCCCGTGGGGCAGGTTGAAGCCGTTCCCCTTGGCCTGCGCCTCCACCCCTTCTCCAAAGCCCCTCTCCAGGTTTCCTGTCACCCCTTTAGGCGCTGGAGCTGCCCTAAGGTCTCCGCGGAGCCCTTCAGAGCCCTCTAACAGGGAGCATCCAGGCCCTGCTCCGAAGGCTCAAAAGCCGGGGTAGAGACCTGGTGCCGGGACGGACACACACACGTCACGGGGACTCCCCACACACAAGGAAACCCCCCATGAGATGAGGTCCCACGTCATGAACTAAGGCGGCACCGGGGATTTCCGGGGGGGGGAAACACGGAAGGGTGGGGGGGGAGGGGGGCACGAGTGCAAGAGTGAGTGTGCAAGGGGGGGTGAGTGTGAAAAGGGGGGGTGCTCAGGGACCCCCCCCCACGTTGGTAGAATGGGGAATTCCCCCCCCCCGGCACCCCCGTTTCCGTCTTCCCCCCCCCGCCCGGTGCCGCCCCGTCGGGCCGTGACGTCACTCACGGGGACGTCCCGGAACCAACGGCTGGTACGGACCGAGCGTGGGGCCGGGGGGGGGGGCACAGGGATGGGGGGGGGGGGATTGGGTTTGGGGACCCCCCTCAAGCGCTGCCATCCCGTCCCTTCGGGGTTCAAAGTTCACGCGTGTCGTTGGCATGTTTGCATGACGGTGGCATGTAGACGTGATGGGGGACGGGGGTGGGAAGGGGTTGGGGGGTGGAAAAGGGAAGAAGGCCCCCAACACCCCCCTTTTCCCGCTTGCCCCCCCCATAGAACACAGGAGAACACACAAGAACACGCAAGAACATGCAAGAACACGCGTGTGCAGCCATGGAGGAGACACGGGAATGGGCGACCCTCAGCCCCCAGGAGTTCGCCCAGCTCCAGAAGTACATGGACTGTGAGTGATGGGGGGGGGGGGGGGGGGGCATGAACATGTGTGTACACGCGTGTGAGTGGGCTGAGCTGGCTCCACACGCGTGTGCACGCACATGGCCCCCCCATCAGACAGCAGCAGGAGGGTGCAGGACGTGCTGCAGCAGTTCTATGGCACCGGAGCCCTGGAGCAGCACCAAGGGGGCGAGGTGAGGCTCGGGGGGGGGGGGTCCATATGCACGAGCTGCATCCGGGACCCCCCCAACCCGCCTCTGCTCCCCCCCTCCCAGTGTCTGGATCTCGCCGGGTTCCGGCTCTTCCTGCGCTCGTACCTGGAGCTGGACCCTCCGGAGCCGCTCTGCAGGAGCCTCTTCGCCTCCTTCCAGAGCGGGGGGGGGCCGGGGGGGGCCCCGCAGGCCGGGAGGGGGGTCCCCGCAGGCAGCAGCCTGGTCTCCATCAGCGATGTCTCCTGCTACTTCTCGCTGCTGGAGGGGGGGCGCCCTGAGGACAAGCTGGAGTGTGAGTGGGGGGGGTCCCCAGGGTCCTGCTTGGGGGGGGTCCCCAGGGTCCTGCTTGGGGGGTGGGGTCTCACTTCGTTGTCCCCCCACAGTCACCTTCAAGCTCTATGACAAGGATAATGGGCTCTTGGACAGCTCGGTGAGTGCTGCGGGGGGGGGGGTAAAGAGGTTTGGGGTGCTGGGACCCCCCCCCCCAACGGATTCTGGTACCAGGAGGTGGAGCGGATCATCACGCAGATGATGCGGGTGGCCCAGTACCTGGATTGGGATGTGACGGAGCTGGAGCCGGTGAGTGGGACCTGGGGGGGGTCACACACACACGGGGGTGTTGGGGAGTGCTCCCCCCACCATGGACACCCCAAAACCTCTGCGTGATCCCCCCTTCAGATCCTGCAGGAGATGATGCGGGAGATCGACTACGATGGCAGCGGGACCGTGTCACTGAGCGAGTGGCTGCGGGGGGGGGTCACCAACATCCCGCTGCTGGTGCTGCTGGGGCTGGACAGGGTGAGCGGGATGGGGGGGGATAAAGGGGAGGAGGAGCAGGGTGGGAAGTGGGGGGAATGGGGAGGGCTGAGTGGGGGTGGTTGGGGGTGCCTCCCCCCCCCCCAAAGCTCCCCATGTGTCCCCCCCAGCACCTGAAGGACGAGGGGCAGCACCTGTGGCGCCTGAAGCACTTCACGCGCCCCGAGTACTGCAACGTGTGCGCGGGGCTGCTGCGGGGGCTGCGCGGGCAGGGGCTGCGCTGCTGCCGTGAGCCGGGAATGGGCTGGGAATGGGGCGGTGGGATGGGGATGGAAGAGGGGTGATAGTCAGACTAAGACAAGGATGGCAATGGGATGGAGATGGGAATGTGGTGGGGACCAAGATGATGGTTGGACTGGGATGGGGATGGGGATGTGGTGGGGACTGGGGTGGTTATCAGACAAGGACAGGGATAATGATGGGATGGGGATGGGACAAGGATCAGGACAATGCAGTGGGGATGGGGACAGAAGTGGGATGGGGATGGCAGTGGGATGGAGACAGGAGCTGGGAGGATGAAGTGGGGATGGGACAGGGATGTGGTGTTGGGAGCAGGGCAGGGGAGGCTCCGGCTCCAGCTGTTGCAGAGGCTCCAGTTGTGGGGGCTGATCCCCCCCCAATCCCCATCCCCATTCCCAGTGTGCCGGTTCACGGTGCACGAGCGCTGCTCCCGTTGCATCAGCACCTACGCCAAGTCCCGCAAGGAGGCCGGGGTGAGTGTCCGAGGCCTCATCTGTGTGTCCAAGTGTCCGTCTGTGTGTCCACCTGTTCGTCCACCTGTTGGCTTGTCCATGTGGCTGTTGGCCATCCACCCATCCATCCATCCATCCATCCATCCATCCATCCATCCTTCATCCATCCATCCATCCTTCATCCATCCATCCATCCATCCGTCCATCCATCCATCCATCCATCCATCATCCATCCATCCTTCATCCATCCATCCATCCATCCATCCATCCATCCATCCTTCATCCATCCATCCACCCATCCATCCATCCATCCATCCATCCATCCATCCATCCTTCATCCATCCATCCACCCATCCGTCCATCCATCCATCATCCATCCATCCATCCATCCATCCATCCATCATCCATCCATCCTTCATCCATCCATCATCCATCCATCCATCCATCCATCATCTATCCATCCATCCATCCATCCATCCATCCATCCATCCATCCTTCATCCATCCATCCATCCATCCTTCATCCATCCATCCATCCATCCATCCATCCATCCATCATCCATCCATCCATCCATCCATCCATCCATCCATCCATCATCCATCCATCCATCCATCCATCCATCCATCCATCCATCATCCATCCATCCATCCATCCATCCATCCATCCATCCATCCATCATCCATCCATCCATCCATCCATCCATCCATCATCCATCCATCCTTCATCCATCCATCCATCCATCCATCCATCCATCCATCCATCCATCATCCATCCATCCATCCATCCATCCATCCATCCATCCATCCATCCATCATCCATCCATCCATCCATCCATCCATCCATCATCCATCCATCCTTCATCCATCCATCCATCCATCCATCCATCCATCCATCCATCCATCCATCATCCATCCATCCATCATCCTTTTGTCCATCTGTTCCCATGTCAAGCAGTGTGTCCATCTGTACCTTTGTCCTTCTGTCCACACACCCCACCCCAGAGGCAGTGCAGCGGCCGAGCCCCCGAACCCCCCATCACAGGGGTGACACAGGGTGCTGATGCGTGCCGGGGGGTACCATGGGGTGACGGGGGGGGGCCATGCCCAGGTCCAGGCCCACGTCTGGGTACCGGGCGGCTGCGATGCCTCCAAGTGCAGCCAATGCCAGAAGAGGATCAAGAGCTTCCAGAGCCTGACGGGGCTGCGCTGCGTGTGGTGCCCACACCAAGGTGGGTGACACCGGGGGGGGGGGGACACCCCCGCTGTGCCCCCCCCACCTCATCCCGCTCTGCCCCCCAGATCCATGAGGAATGCCAGCCCCTCGTGCCCCCCACCTGCGACTGCGGGGTCCTGCGGGACCACGTCCTGCCCCCCGCCGCCATCTGCCCCGTGCTGCTGGTCAGTGGGGCTCGAAGTGGGGGGGGGGGGGACAGGTTGCGTCCTAGTGCCCCCCCTCACACGGGTGTCCCCAGGAGCGCCAGGACAGCGGGACAACAGGCGAGGGGACCCCGCAGGGCTTCAGCACCACCGAGGGGCAGCCGCTGCGGGTGAGAGGGGACCCCCCCCATGTCCCCACATATCCCTCCCCCATGTGTGTCCCCCCCCGTTACAACCCCCTCTTCCTGCAGGTCAGCCCCGTGCCCGGCACCCACCCGCTGCTCGTCTTTGTCAACCCCAAGAGTGGGGGGAAGCAGGGGGAGAGGTAAGGGAGGGGTTTGGGGAGGGTGGTTTTTGGGGGGGTTATGGGGCATTTCCCCCCCCCCAATAACTCCATTCTGCCCCCAGGGTCCTGCGCAAGCTCCAGTATCTGCTCAACCCCCGGCAGGTTTATAACCTGCTGCAGGGGGGGCCCGGCCCCGGGTGAGCCCTATCGCATCCCGACCCCCCCCCCCATTGTCCTGACCCCCCCATCCTTAACCCCAAATCCGTCCCTGACCCCCCTTTCCCCATCCCAGCCTCACCTTCTTCCGGGACGTTCCCGACTGCCGCATCCTGGTGTGCGGAGGCGACGGCACCGTGGGCTGGGTCCTGGATGCCATCGGTGGGTGCTGACCCCCCTCCGGACCCCCCCCCCCCATTATCCCCCCCCCCCCCCAACCCCCCAGTGACCCCCGTTCTATTGCAGACAAAGCCAACCTGCCCCATCGCCCCCCGGTGGCCGTCCTGCCCCTGGGCACCGGCAACGACCTGGCCCGATGCCTGCGCTGGGGAGGGGGTGAGTGGGGTAAAGGGGGTGTAAGGGGAGGGCCAAGGCCCCCCCCATCCATCCCGGTGCCCCCCCCATGTGCAGGGTACTCGGGGGAGGACCTGGTGCGGATCCTGCGGGAGCTGGAGGGCGGCAGCCGCCGTGCCCATGGACCGGTGGCGGGTGCAGGTCCTGCCCCAGGACGCGGCGGCCGAGGGGGACCCGGTGCCCTACGAGGATCATCAACAACTACTTCTCCGTCGGGGTGGTGCGTGGGGACGGGGGGGGAAACAGCCCCAAAACACCGCAAAACAGCCCCAAAACACCGCAGAACAGCCCCAAAACACCGCAAAACAGCCCCAAAACACCGCAAAACAGCCCCAAAACACCGCAAAACAGCCCCAAAACACCGCAAAACAGCCCCAAAAACACCACAAAACAGCCCCAAAACACCGCAAAACAGCCCCAAAACACCGCAAAACAGCCCCAAAACAGCCCTAAAACACCCTAAAAATACCCCAAAACACTCCTCAAAACACCCTAAATCATCCCTAAAATGACCCCCAAAACACCCTGAAAACACCCCTAAAACACAAAAAAACACCCAAAACATCCCTAAAGTACCCCCAAAACCACCCTAAAAAACACCCCTAAACCACCAAAAAAAACCACAAAAACACCTTGAAAACACAAAAAAAACACCTCGAAAACATCCCAAAACACCCCAAAAGCACCCCTAGAACATCCTTCACCCCCTCGTCCCCCCCAGGACGCCTCCATCGCCATCGCTTCCATGTCATGCGGGAGAGGCACCCGGAGAAGTTTCAACAGCAGGTACAGGGGATGGGACCACCCTGTGGCCCCCCATCCAATTCCTCCCTCCCCCATCCTATTCCTGCCCCCCATCCCATTCCTGCCCCCCCATCCCATTCCCTGCCTCCCCCCATATGCCATCCCTGCCCCCCCATCCCGTGCCCCCCAGGATGAAGAACAAACTCTGGTACCTGGAATTCGCCACCTCCGAGTCCATCTTCGCCAGCTGCAAGAGGCTCAAGGAGTGCGTGAGCGTGGAGGTGAGGGGGGTTTGGGGGGGTTTAGGGGTGGTTTTTGGGGTGGTTCTGAGGTGTTTTGGAAGGGTTGTGCTGGTGGTTTTGGAATGGTTCTGGGGCAGGTTTGGGTGGCTTAGGGTGTGTTTGGGGGTGGGTTTGGGGCGGTTTTGGGGTGCGTTTGAGGGTGGTTTGGGGAGGTTTGGGGGATGTTTTAGAGCTGTTTTGCGAGGTTTGGGGATGGGTTTAGGGCTGGTTTAGGACTGTTTTGGGAGGGTTTGGGGCTGGATTTGAGAGGTTTTGGGGTGTTTTCGGCTGTTCGGGGATGTTTCTGGGGTTGGGTTTGGGGTGTGGTTTTGGGAGGATTTTGGGTGGGTTTAGGGCTGTTTTAGGGCTGTTTTGGGGTGTTCTGGGGCTGGTTTTGAGTGTTTTTGGGGTGTTTTCAGCTGTTTGGGGATGTTTCTGGGGTTGGGTTTGTGGTGTGGTTTTGAGAGGGTTTGGGGTGGTTTTAGGGCTGTTTTGGGGTGTTCTGGGCTGGTTTTGAGTGGTTTTGGGGTGTTTTCAGCTGTTTGGGGATGTTTCTGGGGTTGGGTTTGTGGTGTGGTTTTGAGTGGGTTTGGGGTGGTTTTAGGGCTGTTTTAGGGCTGTTTTGGGGTGTTCTGGGGCTGGTTTTGAGTGGTTTTGGGGTGTTTTCAGCTGTTTGGGGATGTTTCTGGGGTTGGGTTTGTGGTGTGGTTTTGAGCGGGTTTGGGGTGGTTTTAGGGCTGTTTTGGGGTGTTCTGGGCTGGTTTTGAGTGGTTTTGCGGTGTTTTCGGGTGTTTTTGGGGTGTTCCCCCCCCGTTTCCCCGGGATTGCGCTGCTCCCCCCATTCCCGTCCCTATCCCCCCCCCAGTGCTGCGGGACCCCGCTGGAGCTGAGCGCGGCGCTGGAGGGGCTGGCGGTGCTCAACATCCCCAGCACCCACGGCGGCTCCAACCTCTGGGGCGAGACCAAGCGGGGAGCGGGGGGACCCGCGACAGGCACCGCGCCCCCCCCGGCCATCACCGACACCGAGACCCTCAAGACCTGCGTGCAGGGTACGTGGGGGTCCCCCTTTACCCTTCCTGCCCCCCCTCACCGTTGCTCCCCCCCCTCCCTGCCTATTTCGCTCTGGTTTTGGGGTTCCCCCCCCCGCTTTAGACCTGAGCGACCGGCGGCTGGAGGTGGTGGGGCTGGACGGGGTCCTGGACATGGGGCAGATCTACGCGGGGCTCAAGAGCGCTGGGAAGCGGCTGGCGACGTGCTCCGAGCTCACCCTGCGGTCAGTGGGGCCGGGGAGGGGGGGGCCCGATGGGGACCTCCGAGGGGTGGGGGGTGATGGATGCTGGGGGCTCTCCACAGGACATCGAAGGCGCTGCCCATGCAGATTGATGGAGAGCCCTGGATGCAGCCGCCCTGCACCGTACGTGGACCAAACCCCCGCCCCCCGCCGTGTGTGTGTATGGGGGGGGTGTGGGGTGCCCCCCCCGGACTCCCCCAGTCTTTGCCTTGCAGATCAAGATCACCCACAAGAACCAGGCGCTGATGCTCATGGCCCCCCCATCCCGCTCCTCCGGCTTCTTTGGCATCAAGAAGGGGACCCCAGAGGCTTGAGGGAGCCGGGGGGGGGTGTCAAGGACCAACCCCCTCCCAATCCATGTGTGTCCCCACACACCCAGAGCCTGCGGATGCCATATGAGGGTGCTGGGGGGCTTTGCCAGGCCCCCCATGTATGTGCGGTGGCTGGGACCCCCCTATTTATTATGCCCCCCAACTTATTACCCCCCCCCCATTTATTACCCCCCCATTTCGGTGCCTTTCGCAGTAATAAAGCTGATGGTGATGGGCACCGGTTGTGCCAATGGGGCCCCCCCAGACCCAAAACCAGGCAGAGGCACCGGCTGAGCTGAGCCTTTAATGGTGATGGCAGCGAGACTGGGGCCACCGTACCCCCCCCATCGCCACCACCGTGCCCCCCACCCCCCCCCAGGTCGGGGTGGGGGGGCTCTAGGCAGGGTTCCCATGGAGCAAGGGGCTGCTCTCGCTGCTGGGGGCCCCTCCCAGGTCCCCCCCTCCCAGCGCCCGGCGCAGGAGCAGGCGCAGGGCAGAGCTTGGGGGGAGCCAGCCCCGGGGCCGGGGGGCCGGGGGGGCCGCGGGCGGCAGTGGGTGGTACTGAACGCGCCTGCAGGGAAGGGTCCTGGTGTTCCCCTGGTGCCGTGGTCACAGCGACCCCCCCCATGTCACAGCGACCCCCCCCATGTCACAGCGACCCCCCCCATGTCACAGCGACCCCCCCCATGCCATGGTCTCCACCCCATGCTCCATGTCCCCCCCTTGCCACCTGCCCCTGCCATGGTGCCCCCCCATGCCATGTGTCCCCCTACCCCCATGTCCTCCCACACTCTCTGTCACCCACCATGTGTGTGTGTGTCCATGGTGCCCCCCACATGCCGTGGTGCCCCCATTCCAGAGTCCCTCCCCCATGGAGGGCCCCCCACCATTAGAGTGCCCCCCATGCGGCGATGTCCCCCATGGTGTCCCCCCCATGGTGTCCCCCCCATGCTCACTGGTAGGCGCAGGCTGCGGTGCCCAGGGCAGCCCCGATGAGCACCAGCCCCACAACGATGAGCGTAGTCGCGCCGGCAGCCGGGGCAGTGCCTGTGGAGAGAGGCACCTCAGCACCCCCGTCCCATTGGATCCCCCCTGAACCCAGTGGATCCCCCCCATCCCCCCAGATCCCAATCCCACCGCATCCCCTTCCAATCCCACTGGATTCCGCCCTCCCATCCCACCAGATTCCCATCCCCATCCCACCGGATCCCCCCTTTCCTCCCCCTTTACAACCAGAACCCCCCCAGTCCCACCAGATTCTGCCCCCCCCCCCATCCCACCGCCTCCCCTTCCAATCCCAATGGATTCCCCCCCTCCCATCCCACCTCCACCTCCGACGCTGAGCCGGGTGCTGGCCACGGCGAGGCTGCCGCCGGCCGCCAGGGACACGTTGAGGCAGAAGAGCCCGGAGCCGTTGAAGTCCTGGCGCAGGAGGAGCTGGCACCCGGGGCCCGGCTCCACGGCCGAGCACGTCTGAGCCGCCGCCGCCTCCCGGCACTCGGCGTCCGCCACCACGGTGCAGACCTGCTCGGGGCGGCTGCGGGCGGGGGTCAGCCCCTGCCGGGCCCCGCTCCGTCCCCGTCCACACCGGGACCCCGCTCCCATCCCCATCGGGTTCCCCGCTCCCATCCCCGTTCCCGTGAGGACCCCGCTCCCATCCCTATCCCCATCGGGTTCCCCGCTCCCATCCCCGTTCCCGTGAGGACCCCGCTCCCATCTCTGTCCCCGTCGGGTTCCCCGCTCCCATCCCCGTTCCCGTCCAGGACCCCGCTCCCATCCCTATCCCCGTCGGGTTCCCCGCTCCCATCCCCGTTCCCGTGAGGACCCCGCTCCCATCTCTGTCCCCGCCGGGTTCCCCGCTCCCATCCCCGTTCCCGTGAGGACCCCGCTCCCATCTCTGTCCCCGTCGGGTTCCCCGCTCCCATCCCCGTTCCCGTCCAGGACCCCGCTCCCATCTCTATCCCCGTCGGGTTCCCCGCTCCCATCCCCGTTCCCGTCCAGGACCCCGCTCCCATCTCTGTCCCCGTCGGGTTCCCCGCTCCCATCCCCGTTCCCGTCCAGGACCCCGCTCCCATCCCTATCCCCGTCTGGTTCCCCGCTCCCATTCCCGTTCCCATCCCCTCCGGGCACCCTCTCCCATCTCCGTTGCTGTCCCCGCCGGGACCCCGCTCCCATCCCCATCCCAGTTCCAACAGCGCCGGACCCCCGCTCCCGTCCCGTCCCGTCCCCATTCCCGTCCCCGCTCCCATCCCCGCGGGGTCCCCGCTCCCGTCCCTGTTCCTGTCCCCGCCGGGGTCCCCGCTCCCGTCCCCGTGCCCATCCCGTCCCGTCGCGTCCCCGCCGGCCCTCACCTCCCCTCGCACGTCACCGTCAGCTCCACGCTGCTCTCGCTGCCCTCTGCCGCCACCGGCACCACCTGCACGATGGAGACGCTCTCGATGCCCTCTGCAATGGGTGCGGGGTCAGGGCGGGCGCGGATCCCCCCCTCCCCACCGGCCCCCCCGGTCCCGCACTCACGGACGATGTCGAGCTGCGTGGAGAAGGTGCCGTAGCGGTACAGGATGCAGCCGGTGGCTTCGGCGGCCGGTGCCTGGCGCTTCACCAGCACCAGCGGCTCTGCCGTGGCTGCACCCGTGGCTCCAGCTGTGGCTCCAACCACGGCTGCATCTGTGGCTGTATCCGTGGCTGCGTCTGTGGCTCCAACCACGGCTGCATCTGTGGCTGCATCCGTGGCCTCAGCCATGGACACGGCTGTGGCCCCATCCGTGGCTCCAACTGTGGCTCCATCCGTGGCTCCATCCGTGGCTCCAACTGTGGCTACAGCCACGGATACAGCCATGGCTGCGCCTGCAGGAGAAGCCAATGGTAAGGAAGAGGCAGAAGGAGCTGGGACCCCACCAGGACCCCCCAATACCCACCTGTAGCCACCATTCCCTCTGTGTCTACAGCAGCTGCAGTGCCCAGAGCATCCCCAGCCGGGGCCACCGAGGTGGGGAGCACGGGGACCACAGTGGCAGCGGGACCGGTACCCGCGGCAGCAGCTGCTGGGGTGCTGAGTGCCACGAGGACGGGCTCAGTGACAGCAGCATCCAAGGCATCGGTGACAGCGGGGTCCAAGGCATCAGTGATGACGGGGTCCAAGGCATCAGTGGCAGCAGCATCCGCGGCATCAGTGACAACAGGGTCCAAGACACCAGTGATGGTTGGATCCAAAGGCACGGTAACAGCGGTGTCCGAGGGCACGGTGACGGCTGCCGATCCCCCCGTGGGTGAGCCGGATGCTGCTGGTGCTATGGGCAGAGAGTGACGATGGGGAGAACCCCCCTGGTACCCGTGGCGATGGGATGGGGGCTGGTGCCCCCTTACCAGTGCTGGGCACTCCCGGCGTGGTGGGGAGCGGGGCTGTCGGTGATGCGCCGGTGGTGGGGCCCACGACGGGCGCCGCGGAGGTGCCGCAGGGGCTCAGGGGGATGGCAGCCTGCAGCACCATGCGGGCGGCGAAGGAGCCGGCCTCCAGGTACGTGTGGGTGACGGTGGCGCTGCGGGAGATGAGGGTCCCGCTCCCGTCCCCGAAGTCCCAGGAGTAGGAGACGTCGGCGTCGCGCAGGAAGCGGCTGGGGTCGTGCAGCCGCACGGTGAAGGCCACGGCGCGGTTCCGCACGTAGCGCCCGGCGCCATCCACGGCACCGGGGACCTGCGCCACGTCCACCGCGAATGGGACCTGGTCTGGGGGGGGACACACACGTGGGGACACCATCAGCTCACCCGCACCCATTGGGGTCCCATTCCTGTCCCCATTGGGGTCCCATCCCCACTGGGGTCCCATCTCCGTCCCCACTGGGAGTCCCATCCTCATCCTCATTGGGGGTCCCATTCCCGTCCCCACTGGGGGTCCTATCCCCATCCCCATTGGGGGTCCCATCCCAGTCCCCCTCCCAGTACCCACCAGTGATGCTGAACTGGGAGCTGGCACGGCCGATGGGGATGAACTTCTGGCGGCCACGGTAGTGGTAGACAACGACCTCCATGGTGTAGGAGCCCAGGGGCACTCCGGCCGTGCCCACCGTCAGCTGGGACGTGGCTCCATCCACAACCTGCCAGTAGCGCCCTATGGGATGGGATGGGATGCGATGGGATGGGGGGGGTCAGGATTGAGCCTCAGGTCCCCCTCAATGGGTGCTGGGGGGCGGTGGTTGGGGGTCTCACCCCACGTCCACCACACGTAGACGAATCTCCCGCGCTTGCCGCCTGCGGGGAACGGGCGCCCGTCGGGGAAGACGCCGTTGGCTTCATCGGGGGGGTCCGGGAACACCGGGTCCCCGCGGGCCACGCGGGTGCCTGCGGGAGCAGAGGGGAGGGTTATGGGGGGGTTGGGAAGGTTTTGGGGTGGTTTGGGAGGGTTTTGGTGCGTTTAGGGGAGATGGGAGGGGGTTGGAAAGGTTTAGGAGGGTTTGGGGGAGTTTTGGGGGTTTTTCAGGGGTGTTTTGGGAGGGTTTGGGGATGGTTTTGGGGTGTTTTGGGGCTGCTTCGGGGTGTTTTGGTAGGGTTTGGGGAGGGTTTTGGGGGTGTTTTGGGGTGTTTTTGGAGGGTTTGGGGAGGGTTTTGGGGGTGTTTTGGGAGGGTTTGAGGAGGATTTTGGGGTGTTTTGGGGCTGTTTCGGGGGTGTTTTGGTAGGGTTTGGGGTGGGTTTTGGGGGTGTTTTGGGAGGGTTTTGGGGTGTTTGGGGGTGTTTTGGGGGTGTTTCAGGGGTGTTTTGGGGTGTCTGGGGGTGCCCTGTGGCCTCTGCTGGGTGCCGACCGTTGACGGTGCAGTTCTGGCTCCAGACCACGCTGCCGTCGGGCCGCAGCTCCTGGGTGCTGGGCAGGCGCAGGGCGATGGAGAAGGTGGCCTCAGCGCCCGCCATGGTGGGAGCATCGTTGCTGATGTCGAAGGCGACGTCGCCGCCTGCCAGGGACCGGCACAGGGAGCGGGGCTCAGGCTCAGCACCGGGCCCAGCCCCGGCTCCGTCGCCGTCCCCGGTACCCCGGTACCCCGGTACCCACCTCTCCAGCAGCCCGGCTGCCGCGGGGCTCCCTCCTGCCAGGGCCGGTACCGCAGCGAGTCCCAGCTCCGGAACGGCGCCGGGCGCCCGCTCCAGGGCCGGCTCCGGCCACCGGCTCCTGCGGGGACAAGGGGTGAGGACAGCCCCGTTTGTGCCCCCCCCCCATCCACCATTGGGACCCCCCCATTCCTGCCCACAGGGACCCCCCCCTTGCACCTCGTGATGGGCCACGAGTGGGGCAAAGCCCATCACATGGCACCGAGCGCTGCCCAAAGCCTCTTCATGTGACTCTCAGCTGAGCCGGCGCCGCGGGCTGGGGGGAGCTGAACCCCCCCTGGCCCCACAGTCATTGATGGACGGGGACAGCGAGCACGGAGGTGCCCCCCCCCCAATAGCGATGGGGACCCCCAAACCCTCTTCCCAAAGCGCTGTAGGTTCCCCCCACGTCCTGCAGAGGATCGGGGACCCCACAATGCCCCCCCCCCCTCCCCATGGCCCCCAAAAGGATCAGCGGGGTCTAATCCTGCTCCCACTCCCAACCCCGGGGTGCTTGGATGCTGTGAGCTCCATCCCCGGCCAGGACCATCCTGATGGCTGCATTGCCAGGCTGGGGGTGCACCCCTCCGTCCTGTTACCCCCCCTCATCAATGACCCCCCCCATTGAACCCCACTTACTCCTCTGAGCCACAGCCAGGACCAGGAGGGTCCCCAGCACCGCGGCCGCCCCGAGCACCCGCATGGTCCTAGCGTCCCCCCTCGTTGGGCACCGCCGGGGCTCAGCAGCGGGGCCGGGGGTTATGAAGGGGCTCTCGTTTGCATAAATCCCACCCCAAAAAGGGGGGGGCACCCCAGGGAGCTCCCCCCACCTTGTGTTACGTGGGGGACACGTGCGAGCACGCGTGGTCAGCCCCGGTCACACGCTCCGGCTGTGCCCTGGGGGGGTTCGGGGGGCCGTGGGGTGCTTTAGGGACACAGAGGCACCCCCTGCTAATGGGGTGGGGATAGGGGGTGCTCCCCCCCCCATCCCCAGCACCCTCATGGTGGCCCCATGCCCATGGGTCTGGCTTGGACACACAGTGGGGACCCCCCAGCACCCACAGTCCCCATTATTCCCGCTTTGGGGGGGCTCAGATCCCGGTGCTCCCCCCCTTTATGTGGGACCCTTAAAGCCCTCAACCCCCCTTTTTCCCCCATAGCGATGCCGGACCCCCCATCCGGTACCCGTTACCCCCCCCCCCCCATTGGTGGGTCCCGTTCCCATCGCAGGACCAAGGCTCCTCTATGGGACCTCAATTGCCCCTTTAACAATTCTCCCGCGCCTCCCTGACGTCACGGAGAGCCGGGCCAATGGGAGCGCGGCCGGCGGAAGGCGGGAAGCGTGCGCGCGGGGCGGGGCCGGGAGCGGGACCCGCCGAAACATTGTTCCGTGGCCGGGGGGGGGGAAGCGGCGGCTGCGATCGTTCCATAGGGACCCCCCCCCGTCTGAGGACCCCGTAGGCCCCATAGGGCCCCATAGGACCCCATAGGGACCCCAGAGGGCCCCAGAGGTGCCCCCCCCATGGAGAACTTCCAGAAGGTGGAGAAGATCGGGGAGGGCACGTACGGGGTCGTGTACAAGGCCCGGAACAAGGTGACGGGGGAGGTGGTGGCGCTCAAGAAGATCCGGTTGGACACGTGAGTGGGGGTCTGTGGGGTGGGGGGGTCTATGGGGATGAGGGGGGTCTATGGGGATGGGGGGGCTGTGGGGACGGGGGGGGTCTACGGGGATGGGGGTCTATGGGGTGGGGGGGTCTATGGGAATGGGGGGGTTTATGGGGATGAGGGGGGTCTATGGGGATGGGGTGGCTATGGGGATGGGGGGTCTATGGGAATGGGGGGGTTTATGGGGATGAGGGGGGTCTATGGGGATGGGGGGCTGTGGGGATGGGGGTGGCTATGGGGATGGGGGGTCTATGGGATGGGGGGTTCAGGGGGGTCTGTGGGGATAAGGGGTCTATGGGGATGGGGGTGGCTATGGGGACAGGGGATCTATGAGGATGGGGGGTCTATGGGGATGGGGGGGTCTCTGGGGATGAGGGGGTCTGTGGGGATGGGGGGTTCAGGGGGGTCTGTGGGGATGAGGGGTCTATGGGGATGGGGGGTCCAGGGGGGTCTATGGGGATGGGGGGGTCCAGGGGGGTCTATGGGGATGGGGTTCAGCCGCTTTGTGCCCCCCCCCTCCCCGTCCCAGGGAGACCGAGGGGGTCCCCAGCACCGCGATCCGGGAGATCTCACTGTTGAAGGAGCTCAATCACCCCAACATCGTCAAGTGAGCGATGGGGGGCACCCCATAAGGGATGGGGGGGTGATGGGGGTTGGCTTGGGTGCAGTTGGAAGCTGTGAGGAGGGCACGGGGGTGCGGGGAGATGGGGGGGGATGAGCATGGGTCTGGGAGGGCGTCCATGGGGCTGAGAAGAGGACATCTATGGGGGGTTGGGACATCCATGGTGATGGGGGGACATCCATGGGGATAGGGGGGAGACACCCATGAGGGTGGGAGGACAACCATGGGGCAGGGGGGGAACACCCGCAGGGCTAAGGAGGGGATCTCTATGGGGCTGGGGGGACACCCATGGGGCTATGGAGGGGACATCTATGGGTGTGAGCCCCCCCCATGGCCATGGGGCACCCCACGCCTGCTCCATTCCCCGCCTCCAGGCTGCTGGACGTGATCCACACGGAGAACAAGCTCTACCTGGTCTTCGAGTTCCTGCACCAGGACCTCAAGAAGTTCATGGACTCCTCATCCCTCAGCGGCATCGCGCTGCCCCTCATCAAGGTGTGTGTGTGTGGGGGTCACCACGATGTGGGGCGAGGGGGGGTCACCCCACCTCCCTATTGACCCCCCCATCGTCCCCATAGAGTTACCTGTTCCAGCTGCTGCAGGGCCTGGCCTTCTGCCACGCTCACCGCGTGCTGCACCGCGACCTCAAGCCCCAGAACCTGCTCATCAACACCGACGGTGCCATCAAATTGGCCGACTTCGGCCTGGCCCGCGCCTTCGGGGTGCCCGTGCGCACCTACACCCATGAGGTAGGCGCTGGGGGGGTCGCCCTGGGGGTGCCAGCGGGGACCCGGTGCCCATCATGTGTCCCCTTGCGGCAGGTTGTGACCCTCTGGTACCGCGCGCCCGAGATCCTCCTGGGGTGCAAGTACTACTCCACAGCGGTGGACATCTGGAGCCTGGGCTGCATCTTCGCCGAGATGGTGGGTGATGGATGGGACCCCCCCACGCCCCCCACCGCTGGGTGCCCCCAGCATCCATGGGGTGGGTTCTGCCCATCCCATTGCAGTGGAACCGCACGGTGTGGGGCTGGGATCAGAGGGGCTTTGGGGGTGATGTTGGGGTCCCAGGGGTGCCCCCAGCATCCATGGGGTGGGTTCTGTCTTTTCCATCCCATCCCATTTACACCAGTGGCTCCTTGATGGGTCTGGGATCAAAGGGGCTTTGTGGGTGACAGTGGGGTCCAAGGGGTGCGTCTATGGGTTGGTTTCTTCCCATCCCGTTGACGCCAGTGCCTCCCTGATGGAGCTGGGATCAAAGGGGCTTTGTGGGTGACATTGGGGTCCAAGGGGTGCCCCTGGGATCTATGGGGTGAGTTCTACCCATCCCATCCCATCCCGTCCCTGAATGGAGCTGGGATCAAAGGCACTTCATGGCTGTCATGTGAGCTGCTCCCGGGGGGTGCCCATCACGCGTCCCAACCGCATCCCCCATTGACCCCCAGCTGCCTGCACCACGATCCCAGCACGGGGTGGGGGGGGGGGTGTCACGAGGCGCCGGTGTGAGCACTCACACGGGTGATCCCATAGGATCCCACAGGACGGGGTTGGGGGGGCTGATCCCATAGGATCCCACAGGACGGGGTTGCGGGGGCTGATCCCATTGGATCCCACGGGATGGGGTTGGGGGGGGCTGATCCCATTGGATCCCACGGGACAGGGTTGGGGGGGGCTGATCCCATTGGATCCCATGGGGTTGGAGTGGTCTGATCCCATTGGATCCCACGGGATGGGGTTGGGTGGGGCTGATCCCATTGGACCCCATGGGGTTGGAGTGGTCTGATCCCATTGGATCCCACGGGATGGGGTTGGGTGGGGCTGATCCCATTGGATCCCGCGGGACGGGGTTGATCCCATTGGGTGCCGCTGGGCGCAGATCACCCGCCGCGCACTCTTCCCGGGGGACTCGGAGATCGACCAGCTCTTCCGCATCTTCCGCACGCTGGGCACGCCGGACGAGGCCGCGTGGCCGGGGGTCACGGCCATGCCCGACTACAAACCCACCTTCCCCAAGTGGGCCCGCCAGGACTTCACCAAGGTGGTGCCACCCCTCGAGGAGGAGGGGCGCAAGCTCTTAGCGGTGAGTACGGGGGGTCCCCATTGAAGGGGGGGGATACAACAGGGACCCCCCCCTTAAATCCCCCCCTTTCTCTGTCCCCCCCCCAGCAAATGCTGCACTACGACCCCAACAAGCGCATCTCGGCCAAGGCGGCGCTGGGACACCCCTTCTTCCGCGATGTCACCCGCACCGTCCCCCACCTGCGCCTCTGAGTGGTGCGCGCCGGGTGGGACCATGGGGTGAATTGGGGGGGGGGGGGGGGGGTACGGGGCTGCCCCTCGCCATAGGAGCCATCCATGGAGCATTGCTGGGATGCAGCCAGAGCCCCTTCCCCCCTCTGGGGGTCTTCATGTGAAGGGAGCCCCCCCCAACCTGGACTTGTGGCACTTACAAAATGGGGGGGGAGCTGCAACCAGTATTGGGTATGGGGGAGCATCTTCATCCCCGTCCTCCTCCTCCTCACCCCGGGGCTGGGGGTTGCGTTTGTGTCCCCCCCTCCACACACCCCCATGGCCCTGTTTGGGGTCGTCCCCCCCCACTTCTCCCCCCTTTTTCTTTGTGACTTTTGTAACTTTGCAGTTTTGTAGCTAACGTCAGGCTCTGTGTGCAGTGGGGGGGGGGGCACCCATAGGACCCCCCCGGACCCCTCTGTCAGCGCCCCCATCCCCATCATG